GGAGAAATAATGGACATGATGGAAGTTGCAGATCCTGATGCTGTTCATGCTGTTCGATCTTTCATCAGGAAGCAGCTTGCTTCTGAACTGAAAGCAGATTTTCTAAGCTTGGTATGGCCAGTCACCCGGGGTTTAATTTTATTTACATTTGATGTCTCCACATCTGGATTAATCACTGGGTGAATGATTGTGTCATACTTTCAGGTTGAGAACAATAGGAGCTCAGAAGAGTATGTCTTTAACCATGCTAATATGGCCAGGCGTGCTCTGAAGAATATTGCTCTTGGTCCGTGTTTCTTGGCATCATAATGTTTAAAGTTTCTATATTGTTGTATTAAAACTACTAATTTTGCTAGTTATTTCTGTCTCTCCCTCCATTTTCAGCGTATCTTGCATCACTCGAAGACCAGGAGTTAACTGAGCTTGCACTACATGAGTACAAAACTGCCACAAATATGACTGATCAATTTGCAGCTTTAGCCGCCATAGCCCAGAATCCTGGGGAAATTCATGATGAAGTACTGGCTGACTTCTACAACAAGTGGCGGGATGACTTTCTGGTAAATTTCTTATTGGGTGCTCTTTATTGCTTGAAATGCATTTGACATGTTCTGTTGCTCCCTGTTTCATCAAAGAATGAACATGTTCAGTAAACAATGACTTCCACAAGGATTCTGCGTACTGTCTTTGGAAGCCATTGCAAGGAACAGAGCTTCGAAATAATCTTGTTGTTTCTTGTTGGATAATCTGTTCTCTCTCTGTCAGGTTGTGAATAAATGGTTTGCTCTTCAAGCCATGTCCGATGTTCCTGGTAATGTTGAAAATGTTCGCAACCTCTTAAGTCATCCAGCATATGATTTGCACAATCCAAACAAGGTATGCAATCATCAATTATCATTTTATGTTTAGTTGCTTGTTTGGCTGCACCTTCATTTGTCAAAAATTCAAAGGTTTGATTGAAGCTAAATCTTTCTGTGATGTACAGGTGTACTCACTCATTGGAGGATTCTGCAGCTCTCCTGTGAATTTCCATGCAAAGGATGGGTCAGGGTACAAGTTCTTGGGAGAGATTGTGGTGCAACTGGACAAAATTAATCCTCAGGTCTGTTTTTATTACACCCTTGAAATAGGAATTTAATTGCTATTATCACCATGCACGTAGGTTTAATAATTTTTTGTTGCCTTTTTATTAACCTCTGTGGATTTCAGGTGGCCTCCCGCATGGTGTCAGCCTTCTCAAGATGGAGACGTTATGACGAAACCCGACAAAACCTCGCCAAGGTAAGCAGCTGGTGCCCAGTTTGCTGTGGATGACACTCTTATAACCAGCCCCAAGTTTTGTCGTCTCATGCCTTTGAGATACCAGATCTGTTCTCTTGTTAATTTATATCCAAATCGGCATGGTTTAATGCAGGCACAGCTGGAGATGATCGTGTCTGCCAATGGTCTGTCGGAGAATGTATTTGAGATCGCCTCAAAATGCTTAGCTGCTTGAATGCCAAAAATTTGCAGGTTGCAGGTGTTTGCCATCAGTGCGTGCTATAGTAATACAAGGACGGCACATCTGCAAGAATCACCATGATAACCATGTTTTGTCCTTTTTATGTCTCGTCTGTCGAGGAGAGACAGGATTCAATAAATTTTGAAACATCTTTACATGAAATAATTCACAAATAATACCCCAGGATGCCCTTTTCTTCTTGGTTGGATGAGCTGAATGCTACCACGGCCTTATGCACAAGGGGATAAGTTATTACCTCCGAGATATAAGTGTATTTTATTTGATGCACCGACCTACGAGATGCCTACCTCATCTAATAGAGGTCCAATAATGAATCTAAATCCTGACCTAAACCCCTTGTCTGAAAAGATTTACTTGCATCATCATCGATAAATACGAATCTAATAAGAGGAAGACTTGTTAAGGTGAGAGTTCTGCAGGGCCAAGCTTTAGTCAACCTCCACATGCTTATTATCGCCAGAAAATTAATTCAGTACTGTGAAATTACATTGCATTACGTGCATCGCACCCTGTGTTAGGTTCTTCATACTTACATGGCGGGTTAGATAGTTGACACGTCTCCAAACGCCCACATCTCGCTTGTCGTCCACAATCTATGACAGAAGATGCAAATCTTAACCCCATCGTCTGGAGTCCATCAGCAACAACAGTCAAGAATAGCGAGGTGGAACGTCATGGCATTTGATTATAACATGAAGAGCAGCCTAATTTGACCAAAAATATTTCCCTAATTCACTATCCGAAAAAGCACGATCAATTAATGGAATCCAATCATTATAATACAAAGGAAAATGAGACCTTTCGTATTTGGATCCAAATATGAAATTGTTTGTAATAATCTTAATAACAATAAGATATTCACGTGATATTCATGCATGCTCGTTGCAAGCAAATAGGAGATGAGTCATGGGATAAACTAGATTTTACATCGCTTGATTCTCAAAGATAATTGTTATTAATAATTAAAATAAATATAAGCATGATAGCCTACTTCTTTTATCTTGCTGTTTGCTTCAAGGTCGTTTGGGTTTGCCCTGCAATCCGTGTCCCATGATTTTTTAAAATATTTTTATATTTTTGTATCGATGTATTATTATTATTAAAAATAATTTTTTAAAAATAAAAATATTATTTTGATGTAATTTTAAATTAAAAACATTTTAAAAAATAACTACTACCATATTCTTAAATACCATATTTTTCTAATAGAAAATGATTTCATTAATCTTTGTTTTGGTGACCACTGTGAAGGTCAAAGGGGTAGTAGTTATCCCTTCTGTGGTTACGTTGGTTGTTGAAAAGTAGATAGATATGGAGAAGACGAGGAAACTTTTGATAGCCCTAGACCTCCATTAATATACTCTTTATTGAATCATTAATGGAAACCTTGAAAGATATCCTAAGACTAAATGATATTTCATATTACGGCCAAGGAATTATGAGAATTTTCTTTAAATCCTGATGGCCTGAACGACAGCATATCTTTGACCATGACGACAATCCTTTATCCACCCTATACACGCTAACCTCTTAAGATCATCCTCTTAATTTTAGATACAGAAAGTAGATGAGTCTTGGAGGATCATAACTAGGGTAAAAGTAACACTGCTGCTTTTTTCTCTTTGGTCAAATAGATTTTCAACCTTTTTACCTAAAAAGCACATCGCTCTTTGAATTCGTGTTCAATTTCCTCCTCGTTTCTCCTTGCATCATCCAAGTAAACAGGCAAAAGGCAAGACAAGAGTGTGGGACACTTCAAGATCAACTGATGATTTTACCTTCATTTGACCCAGTGGGTTGACATATGGATGCAATCATCATCATTGCCTCAAAGATGCAAGGTGATTGGTGCCGCCAGGTATCATGCCATGACCTAGCTAGTTCGTTTGATTTAGAATAGATTCCAAGTTTAATTCTCCTTAAACCTTCTTTCTTTTCTAGATTATGATTACTTGATTTAATTTAACTTTAGTTAAGCACGTACTGGGAAGTGTCACGAAAAAAGCCTAGCTGCTAGAAGCTTATTGCGCATATCACCTTTTATATGTATCAATCACTACTTTGATAAAGATGATGTAGAGGGCAATGGCTTTCCTTACAGACAGAACCCCAAGAACCTTCAAATGATTTTAGGCTTTTCTTACATGAAGTAGAAGAACAACAAAACAGTAGAAGAAAACAACTAACTCACAACAACAAAGTAAATACATGTAGCCCTCCAGTGTATACTAGAAATTGTATGATATTGTTTTCATTTTCGTTTTGGTTTTGATTTTGATTTTTTTCGTGTTTGAGAAATTGAAGACAATATATGAAAACTTGTTTTCTATTTTCAATACATAAGAACAAGCAGCAACATTTGAAAATTTTAGAAAATAAAAAAGTGGCTCTTGTTATTTTCAAAACTTGTTTTTATAATATTAATCTATGATTTAAGATTTAGTTTGTGGTTATCAAATTCAGAGTTCAACCCATGCGGGAATTGATTCACGGTGTTAAAGAATCAAAAAGTGCTATTACACCGAGATTAAAAAAGTGATTAAAAATATGATTTTAATTGTTTTTTATTTAAAAATATATTAAAATATATTTTTTATTTTTTAAAAATTATTTCTAATAGCAACGGATCAAAATAATTTGTAAATAAAAAAATATTAATCTAAAATAAAAAATAAAAAATATTTAAATTTTTTAAAATATAAAAACAAACAAAATATAAATTTTGATGGGCTGAGGATTGAATAAATAGTAAAATTATAGCCTTGAACTTTGGATAAAGTATTTATTTCAATAGCCGTAAGAAATAGAAAAGACTTGTCCCATCAATCAAGTTTCTAGTTTTTAAAAAACTGAAAACAAATTAAAAACAAAAAATAAAAAACAAAAATATTGATATCTTTAGTGATCCGTAGAAGATATGTAAAAGCTACTTTTGACAGGTAAGCATAAATATTTATTGCAATATATATGTGCTGAGACGATGAGATATCCTATTTACACCTCAGACTTTAAAGAGCGACCAAACAATTAATGCATTCAACATCAAGGACTATATAGATCAGTGATTATGCTCACCAGGCTCTCTCTCTCTCTCTCTCTCTCTCTCTCTATATATATATATATATATATATATTGAATTATTATATATAAAGGGAGGAATTGGTATAATAATGATATCTAGAAATTAAATACGTCATCTTCCTAATTAAATGATGTGGATGCCACCATTGTACCCTTGCTTTACACCACAATGTATAACATATTGTGGTTGTGGTGATTGAGAATTAAGATATTTTTTGGGGTTAGGACTTAAGGGAGGGAGGGAGAGCAGCCGTGCAAGTTTTCTCGAGGGGCCGGTAAAGGGCAAGAACTTTCGTTGAGGGAGGCGGGCCACGGGGTAAATGCACGCGCGCACCATCTATAAATGGGATGGCCACACGTGCATTCATTTTCACAATTATATAGATATATAGAAACAACAGGGGAGAACATTTGGAGTGGATCACAAGGCTAAAATGGTAAGATTAGATTTAATAAATACCATAATTATTCCGTAGCAAAATACCAGAAAAGCAGAACGTCCGGTCGTCGTCGAAGAAAATTAATTGATCCCAGTTGCCGTGTTTGACCTCTAAAACCACAAGAATACTTAAAACACAGACGCAGGCTCTCTTTCGCTCTCTCGCTCTCTCTTTACATTCAGAATAACAGAGAGAGAGAGAGAGAGAGATGATAAAATTTCATAGCCAAAAACTAAAGGAAGAGATAGCTTTCTTGTTTTCTTTTCATCACTGTCTCTCCACTCGAATTTTCTCGCCCGAACGCTAACATTTTCCGGGAAACAAGAGAGAGGAAAGAAAATAAGCAGAGATGAGAGACGTGAATGGAGAGTCGAGAGCTGCAAACAATACTCTAGAGACTATAAACGCTGCCGCTACAGCGATCGCCTCTGCTGAGAACCGTGTGCCTCAAGCTACGGTTCAGGTAGTTGTAATTAATTTTGTTTTTAATGATCTTACAATGCGTGAGATTAGGAGTTTTAAATTAAGATCAAGCGGTGATTCTTGTGATATTGATTTCATTTATTTAAGTTTTTCGAAGCAAAATCAAAGCAAATTTTGGTTGGATAAGGTATGTTGCTTTACATGTTGTGTTTTCTTTGTCTAGGTTGTTTAGCAAAAACTTTTTGTTTATCTGGTTCAAGTTTGTGTTTGCTTAGAGAATATATGATTTAGAGGAGAAAGTGCCTTTTTTTAGTTGAAATTAATCTCTCTTCTTCTTATAAATGTATCATAGGCTTGGGATTATCTATAGATTGAGAGCAGAGATTTCGTGCAAGTGAAAGGATTTGCGGTTTCATGGTCCAAATAAGAGGGGAGCTACTTGATAAAGTTGTTTCGATAACTTTTACTTTAAGCCATTTCCTGCACTTGATGACAGTTCTTCTCATTTTTTCTCTTTCTCCTAACCTGCTGCTTCAAAGAGGAATTCTTGGTTAATAATTTCTTTATTATCGTTCTTGGATGCTTGATGATTTTTATTATTTGTATCTATATCATTATTTATCAACTCCTTTTTTTTTCATTTTTTTTTCTTGTGATGGGTAGTGATCAATAAAATTTGAAGTGTTTAGGCATAATGAGCTCTGTTTATTACAGTTGCAGCAGCAGCGGAGTAATGTATAAATATAAGTTATTTTTTCTCTATGGTGATTTATTGTTCGTCAATCTGTCAAAACTCAAAAGTAAACATAACATGTCTTGTTTTGATTCGTAATCGATAGAGTTGCTCAGTGTGTTAAAACATGGAAGTTCATTGGTTTCCTTCATGGCTAGTGCATGAGAGTTTCTCTGAATCTCTTATCATGAGAAATATAAAAACAACCCTGAATTGCTGGAGAGGATATTTGGTATGGTTTCATGTTCTATATCAGTTTTCTGATGCTAGTTTTGTGTAACAGAAGCGAAGATGGAGAAGCCGCTGGAGCATGTATTGGTGTTTTGGATATCAGAAGCACAAAAGCCAAATTGGGCATGCTGTCCTTTTTCCTGAACCACCAGCTCCTGGAAGCGGTGCTCCTGCTGCTGAAAATTCAGCCCAAGCACCAGAAGTCACGTTCCCCTTTGTTGCACCTCCCTCCTCCCCTGCCTCTTTCTTTCAATCAGAACCCCCTTCTGTTACACAATCACCGGCAGGTTTAGTGTCCCGCACCTCTATATCTGCTAGCATGTACTCTCCCAGTGGGCCTGCCTCTATTTTTGCTATTGGTCCTTATGCCCATGAAACCCAGTTAGTCTCACCACCTGTGTTCTCAACTTTCACCACTGAACCATCAACTGCTCCTTTCACTCCTCCTCCCGAGTCTGTCCACTTGACTACACCTTCCTCGCCAGAGGTGCCTTTCGCTCAATTCATTGACCCTACGGCTACCCTGCGAAATGGTGTTACTGGTTTGAGATTCCCATTTGATTTTCAGTCCTATCAGTTTCATCCTGGAAGCTCAGGTGGCCAACTCATTTCACCTAGCTCTGGCGTTTCAGGCTCAGGCACATCATCTCCTTTCCCTGATGGTGAATTTGCTGTTGGTGGTCCTCACTTTCCTGAATTCCGAATGGGTGAACCTCCAAAGCTCTTGAACCTTGATAAGCTTTCCACCCGTGAATGGGGATCCTATCAAGATTCAGGGGCTCTGACTCCAGATTCTGTGAGGCACGGATCGCCCAACTTTCTCCTGTGTCGTCAGTTTTCTGATGTTGCTTCACATCCTCATTCAGAAAATGGACACGATGATGATCATGTTGTTAATCATAGATTCTCTTTCGAGTTAAGTGTCGAAGATGCCTCAAGATGTGTGGAAGAGAAGCCAGCGTGTTCTATTAAAACAGTGCCGGAATACGTGGAAAATGGAACAAAAGCTAAAGAAGAAGAGAATTATGTTGAATTGATACAAAGCTTTGAGCGTCGATCTGGTGACACTTCTAATGATACACCAGAGACACCTTCAACAGATGGGGAGGCACCACAGCATCGAAAGCAACAGCCCATCACTCTTGGCTCTGTTAATGAATTTAACTTTGACAATGCTGATGGAGGAGATTCACGCAAACCTAGTAGTTCGAACTGGTGGGCTCATGGAAGTGTTATTGGGAAGGAGGGTGAAACAACCAAGAACTGGTCCTTCTTCTCTATGGTGCAGTCAGATGTTCGCTAGCTGGTGCATAAATAGCCCTCTACATTCCTACTTTGTGGAGCCATGAAAGATTTTGGTTGCTGAAACCAAGCGCCATACTTACTGAAGCCAATTGTAGTGATTTTTTCATCTGCCGTGGAAGGAAGGTAGACTTACCCTTAAATGAAGGCGGTTTTTGAGTCCTTCGAGACATGAAAACAGGGGCAGATGTTAGTTTTTTGGGGGTTTTTTAAGCATGAATAGTGTATCATATACAGAATTAATAAAGATTATGTCATCCTTAGTTAGAAAGGGTGTGAGCGGTTAAGTTTGTTAAAAATATATTTTTTTAATATAATATGAAAAATATAATATAAATTTGAATAATAAATTTATATCATAAGTAATTTTTTTATTAATAATATTAGTCAAGATATTAAATTACATTAAAATATAATAAAATAAGTTAACAATAATATAATCGAATTATCTAAATAAAATAAAATAAATAAATAGTATGAAGTAATAAATTAATTATATATAAAAATAAAAAATTTCAAAACAAAATTTATCAATATAGAAATCAATAAAAGGTATGAAGCATATATAAATTTAATGATAATTGATTGTTCTCGTTATAATAATTCTTGATAAAATATTTTTTAATTTTTTAATTGTAAGTTAATGAGTTTAAATTAGTGATTAATTAACATGATTTCAATAATGAAATAACTCTTAAACAATGTCTAATGCGTTAGAAAAAAATTAAATTAAAAATGATTATTTAAAATAAATAAATAAATAAATAAATAAAATGATAACAAAAATTTCATGTTAAAATTCTTTTATGTAACTTGAATCTTTAATTTATATATATTATTGACACATTTAAGTCTTGATTTCAAACATATTGTTCTCTCTCATTTTGATGAATTATTGAACCTATGATATATAGTTAAAAAGTTTTAGATATTTAGGTTATATTTGTTTCCTAAAATTTACTTTATGAGAAATTACTTTCTAAATTTTCTTATTTTTGTTTATCGTTAGAAAAGTTGGTCAACATAAAATACTTTCTAATCAAAGAAAAATTTGGTTTGGTTTTCAGGAAAGTGTTTTCCTGAAAAATTTGAGCTGAAAACACTTTCCGGAAGTTGTGAACAATTTAAAAATATCATAATATTTGCTAATTATATCAAATTTGTTCCTCAAACTTTTAATTGATATATATATATATATATATATATTTTGTTTTGAATATTTATTTTTTAATTTCATCTCTTAAAATTTAATTTTTATATTAACTCTGATCCTCATTTTTATAATTATTATTTGCTTTTTCTTTATTATTTTTTTATTGAAATTTTTTATGTATCAAATTTGGTTCCCATTCTTTTACTTATTTTATTTTAAATAATTTATAAAATATTAATAATTATTATTATTTTAATTTCTTAATCTTTTATTTTTTATATTTGATCTCTATTATTTTAATTATTATTTATTTTATTTGATATAATTTATGAAATTATATTTTTTTAATTTCATTCTCATTCAATTTTTTAATTTTTAAGATTTGTTTCTCGTTATTCTAATAAACTTGAGAAAAATGAAATATTAATAAGTTGTTTTTCAACTCATTTTTCATGACATAACCAAACATTGAAAAATATTTTCTATCTTATTTTTCATTACACAACCAAACATCAAAAAATAATTTATTTTTTCAAAATTCACTTTCTAAAATGAAACTATTTTTCAGCAAACAAATGAAGTTTTTATCCTAATTTTAATCAAAGCAAAACTTTACTGGTAGATCTAGATATGTCTTAAACAATACATAAAGGTATCGTTTAACATATTTGACAATATTAATTAACTAAATTTAACCATGTGAAATATTATGTTTCATAACTCTATTTGGCCTGAAAATTTACTATAATATATTTTTATATATCAATTATTTTTATATAAAATTTCAGTTTTATCCAATATACAAGTTGAAAAATATGTTTAATCTCGCAAAATTAATCAACAGATATTTTAACATTAAATTTAGATTTGACTTGATTTATATGATGGATTTAATAAATTCGTAAAATCAGATTGAGTTTACTGATTTTGTATAAATTAATTTTAATTTTACTGATTTTAAATTTTTAATCCAATTTAATATATTAAATATATCTTAACTTGTAAAATCTTATAAATTTATTAGTTAACTCGTAATTTTAACAATCTTATCACCCCGGTCATCTCTACAACTATTGTATCTTAATCCCGGCAAAGACCCAGCTAAGTTAACCCTCCAACTATTGGTATCGCTGGGCTAAAAGCTCTATCACTTGTTGGCCCTTCATCACTAAACCGTGCATGGAGGAACACGACGGCTTTATTTTTCAGTTCTTTTTATAACACAACGTGATTCTAGCAAGTTTTGCCGGCATTTATTTTTATATCCAGGATTTTGCCCTTCCAACAAAGCCCGTTTACCTGTGTTCGTTGGGCTAAAAGGCCTATTATTTTGTTACCTCTTGATAAATGATCGAAGGTTATCATTAAAATATCCAGGATTTTGCCCTTCCAACAAAGCCCATTTACCTGGGTTCGTTGGGCTAAAAGGCCTGTTATTTTGTTACCTCTTGATAAATGACTGAAGGTTATCATTAAAATAAAAAAATATAATTTTGTGTTTTTGTTTTTACAAATTACAAGATTTATTAGCATGAAATGCTAGAGCATTGGTCAAAACACAATTCTCCTGATCTGTTTAACAGAAACAAATTTCACCAGCAAGATTACAATAGTCAAACATGTGGATTCTCATCTGTTCAACAACCACCATACCACCACGAAATGGAATTTTTATATTTTGGATCATCTTATTCTGTCTGATTTTGTTTGCATGGTGACCTTTCAGCTTGTAGTCGTCACTTCCAGGATAAATCAAGTAAATGGTCTATCATCTTTCATGGCTCCACCATTATTTTAATTTCAAACAAATAAAACCCTTAAACATTGAAAAAAAAAAACCCTTGAAGACACTAGCCATCAAAATAACCTTCAATGCCACTTATTTTTTAACAAACCAAACACCAACCTTGCTTGACCTTGTATAACACAATCATCCCCGCCCCCTCCTCCACCTCCACCACTAGCCCACCATCACCTTCTCAATTTTTGGGAGTTAAGAGTTTCTTCTTGAAGGCATAGAAGAAAAAGATACAAAAGCAATGCCCACCTTTACAACAACTACAATGGCCTCTCGAAACGAAAACCTAAATCTCCAAAAACTCATACTCAATCCGCCAACAGGTTCAAGCATAGTAACAATTAACGTCGGTGGGCAAATCTTTCAAACAACAGATCAAACTCTAACTCTAGCAGGTCCACGTTCCCTCTTTTCCCAGCTCTCCGGGTTGACTCATCTCGGTCCCCATTTCATAGACCGAGACCCCGAGTTATTCTCTATCCTCTTATCCCTCCTAAGAACCGGAAATCTCCCTTCAAAGGCCAAGTCTTATGATCTCCAAGACTTGATTGAAGAGTCAAAGTTTTACAAGATTGAATCTTTATTGGTTAATTCCCTCTCAAACCCATCTCAATTTGACCCTTTTAACCTCCAGAAAACCCTAATTTTGCCCTTGAATAGCCGGGACACGGCGTCAGCGGTTGCAACTACACCGTTTGGTACCTTGCACGTGTCTCATGGTAGCAAGATCACATCTTTTGATTGGTCATTGCAGAGGAAGTCAACGACTTTGACCCAATTCACTGCAATTGATTCTATGTTAGCGATTTCCCCAAACTTGGTGGCTGCTGGGGCTACTGACTTCTCGGGGTTGCAAATTTTGGATCTTGAGAAAAAGGGTTTTGTCTTGGAGACATTGAATTGGGAAAATGTGACTAAATCAGGTTCAACAGTACAAGCAATTGGGTCATCTAATGATATGTTGTTTACGAGTTTCGAATCAAGCAGGCGAAACTCGAATTCGATAATGGTTTATGATTTAAAGACTTTTTCTCCAGTTACCGAGATTGGTCATTATGAAATATTTGGTGCTGATTTGGATTCTGCTATACCGGCCACGAAATTGAAGTGGGTAGAGAGTTATAATGTGGTAATGGCGGCAGGGTCTCACAGTGGACCGTCAGGCGTGTTAGGGAATGTGAAGTTCTGGGATATAAGGAGTGGGAATGTGGTTTGGGAATTCAAGGAAAAAGTTGATTGTTTTTCCGATATTACTGTTTCAGATCGTTTGTCATCGATTTTTAAAGTTGGGGTGAATTCCGGAGAGGTGTTTAATGCAGATTTGAGGAAGTTAGGGAGCGAGGGGCATGATTCGTGGGTTTGTTTAGGTGACGATAGGAAGGTGGGGAATGTGAGGAAAGAAGGGGTTGGGTGTAAGATTGAGGCTCATGGGAATCAAGTGTTCTGTAGTAAGGGTGGTGATATTGAGCTTTGGTCTGAGGTGGTGATGGGTTCGTTGAAGAAGAGAGAAGAGGGATTGCCAGAAAGGGTGTTTAGGAAGAATTTGATGGGGAGAGTGAAGGAAATGGAAGGCTCAAGGGTTACAAATTTGGCTTTTGGAGGGAACAAAATGTTTGTGACGAGGAGGGATCAGCAGTCCGTTGAGGTTTGGCAAAGTTCTGTCAGTGGATTTTGATTTCAAAAATGGGTTTGACACTTCTGGATTAATTGTAAGACTGCATATTACTATTTGAAAGTTGGCAGTATCTTGTTTCTTTTTTGTATATTAGGGGTTTGTTGCTGCTGCTGTAGGGCATAGTTTGTTTGATAGTTGATATTTTTGTAAATGGCCTTGTATTTTATCAAGCCTCTAATTGTTTATAAATGGTTAATTGAATGAGACTTGTATGAGGTAAACAATTCGTTGTTTTCTGTTTTAATTACTTAAATTACTATGCAGATGATCACCAATGATAAGATACTTAACTGAGTTCCTTAGGTTTGAACTGCAACACAATATTGGAATGTTGGAGTTTGAATGTCTGTTTTTACCATATCAGAAACTGAAGTGATCATTATTTCTGCACTCTATCAAAGTTGACGTTAGGATTTCATCAATGATCAATTTAAAATTGCAATACCTAGCATTGTTTCAATTTCTTGGAGCAACATTGCCTTGGAGGAATTTTTTCTGGCTGTACACCTTATAATTCTATGGCTAAATATGTCCACCTTTCTATGTCTATATGGCTTTATAAATCAATAATTTGATTTTCTCCCCTTCTTCATGCACCTCTCATTTCTGTTTGGAGTTCTCAACATGTAGAAAATATTTCCTTGG